TGGAACCCCGCTGTCCGGACACCGCCCGCGAGAGCTATGTGCTAAATTAAACTCTTCGGAATATATTAACATTTCGAAAGCTGCCGTTGCCGGTGCCGCTGCCGTTACTCTGTTCCGTCTCTCCTTCGGTACGAACCGATCTAACCGAAGGAATGCGATCTCATACGAGCCAGACCAGAACGCTCCTCCGGTTCGTCCTGCTCTGGTCCTGCTTGATACTGTTTTTCCAATCGATCCAATAGATGTCTTCTCGACTCGCATTTATGTATCTACATCTTGGACCCTTAAGTACCTATGAAACTCACTATAATAATGTGAGGATAGCTCAGCTAAATTTTTTTTGAAGTGAAACTTCTTTACGCACGGTAGGGTAAAGTTCGTTTCATGCGAGTTGCTATGTAACGAAATCATGCAACGCATTTCCCACGCTGTCTGTCCCTATGTATGCTTAGATCTTTAAAACTACGCAACGGATTTTAATGCGGTTTTTTGAATAGATAGAGTAATTCAAGAGGAAGATTTCTATGTATAATACATGCATAATATAGTAGAGAAACACTGATAATTTTAGAGGTTTGTAATGTGATGTCGTAAATAAACACATTTTTTGCGCTTACATTGCAAACGCTGGCTGAACCCTACGAGATATATCAAAATAATATACTACAGTACTGTACACGTTAAAAAGGTCTACAAAAAAGTTCGCGATGGTATATGTCTATCTCTTAGGGATAACCCACAATAACCATTTTTTATCCTTTACTTTTTACGAGAAATAATGGCTTATTTACGAAGCGATTTTAAGCAATACAGCATTAATCCATATCCAATTAAGGACTTTTAAATACATTGTGCATTTAATATAGATCAATATGGCCCTTTACAGCATGTAATTTTTCTCATGCAATGAATATTGTCGAAGATATTACGGACTTAAACTGCAGGGACATAGCGGTCGTATTGTCTAATGACAAAAAAAGCTGTGATTGTTGTATATAAAGACATTCTATAGCATATTTACTATCAGCATTGCACCCGTGCGAAGCATAGTGTACAAATAATACCATTAAACCAATTCCTTAACCCCTATCCCGATATGTTTGTGTGTTTGAAGAAGTTTCACTTCAGTAGCGTGTTGTATAATTACACGTTGTATTTTTTTTAATCCACTTTTTATTGCGGTGTGATAGGTGTGTGATGCCCTTTCTAAATATGAAATTACCCCAGTTGTATCTTTCCATTTTAATACGTTACTGATATCCAAATACAGGTGATAATCTTCAGATACGGTCGCTAGGCGATAACCACAAATTTGTCCATAAGAAAGGTTCCTATATTTGATGTTTACCTACAACCGCACCCTTACAAGATAGATAGGGAGATTGCCCACTTCTTTGTAAGGTTCATCATTGTCCACTTCTTTGTAGGGTTATACATATGTTGAGTTTGCTTTTTCATAAGCTTATTAAACATTAAACTTAAGCGTTTTAGACTCTATTACCCCTGCAACTAAATCCTCATAACTTCATAACCCAAATATTTTAAACCCCACAACCTCCTTGTTTAAAACCCCATAGCCTCATAACCCAAACAATCTAAACCTAATGTAACCCCACTACCCAACCGTCGCAAAGCTCATAATTCTTACATAGAGAACAATTAAAAATAAAAAAATTAATTACAATTTCAGTAGTTTTAATAATTCTTGAAGATCAGAAGCAATGTCAAAAATTCTTTTCTCGTAATCATATATATGCGACGTTCAAATTTTCTTTTCATTTTCTTTGCATTGGCCCTGAATTTTCAATCAACTTGAAAAACAGAATTGAATCGTATTTTTTTGTATATCCATGTATTGATGAACCGATTTTAATGGTACCTTATTTATAGGATAGGTTATATACCTCAAGGCCGGTCCCATTTAAATTTGATGAAAATTATTATTAAGTAATGTAACCTCGTTAGTTTGTTCAGATTTTTTTAACTTTTTAGTTTAAGTTTGTGCGTATAGGCAACGTACTGAAGTCAGTTTTAATATGCCATCGGTATATTTAAATTATATATTTGGTTGGTTTGACCCCCATTTTCACGTGGCCCCACTAGCGATCGCCACCTGACCTAGTGCAGCCCTAGGGGACGTTGCGTTTTCTTATAACATCCTAGTTGTTCTCTTGTATCAATTTCTGCGACGAAACGTCACGTTTTATTAAAAACTAGTTGAAAATTTGTTTTATTCAAAATTCTTGACAACAACGTTAATTATATGTCAACTGGCAACGTTGCAGAGTTGCATCTTCGTCGAATACGTTCTGGTTGTTGTACGTTTTGGAATTGGAAATTGGTTTCCCTCTCGCTCAGCTTGCCGTTCTCATTACATTTGTGTCGAACAATGATTGATCCACGTCGCGTCGAGTCGCGTCGCGTTGCATGGTATCGCGTTGGTCGCACTGCGTTGCTGACGGCGAGCAATGTCACGAGGATCAACGGGACGACAGTAAAATAGAACCAGTTTAATGAACACGAATTGAACACGATAAATAACTCGAAATCGAACCGATTCTGTAAGCAAATCAGGAATCTCGATCCACATGAAATGCACGAACTAAAAATAAAAATCTGTTCAGCGATATTCCTGTTGCTGGACATCATACATGAAAAAATGCTGACTTTACTAAATCGAAAACGCAAAGGCCTGCATATTTGTGAACTTGTAATGAAAACAATCAATGCAATTGATTAAATAGTGCGCATTCATTGAGATTTGCAATAGTTACAAAAAGATTATTAATCCTAACATTAGTTCACATTTCTAATAGTAGCTACAATAGTCCCTACTTATTATCCTAATTATAAAATGTAAGCAAGATGAAACAAAAATACTGGTATGCAAGGGAATAAAACGTAGGGAAAGAGCGAATATAAAGATAGGAAACGAAAACTTAGAAGAAATGGTTGATTTGTAGGAAGTCAGATAAGTCAGGGCGGAAAGAGTAATAGGGATATCAAGCAAAGGATAGCGCAGGGTCGAGTCACCTTCAATAAAAAGAAGAATAAAAATATGTTTGGAGCACGGCGCTGTACGAGTGTGAAACATGGACGGTAGGTAGGGCGGAAAATAAAAGATTAGAAGTGTTCGAAATGCGGTGTTTCAGGCGAATGATGAGGATATCTTGGATAGAGAAAGTTAGAAATGAAGAGGTAGTAGAAAGAATATGAGAACAGAGAACAGAGAACTCTATGGAAGTCAATAACAAATAGGCGAGATAAGTTGGTAGGACACCTTCTCAGGCTTGAAGGTCTAGTCAAACATATTAATAGAAGCAGAAATGGAAGTTAGAATGGGTAGAGGTAGATCTAGATTAGATTACTGTTCGCAAATAGTTAAGGATGTGGGTTGTTGTAGTTTTCAGGAAATGCGAAGATTAGCTCAGAATAGGAAATAGTAAAGATGCGTGTCCAACCAGTCTTAGGACTGACGACCTTATGATGATGATGGAGCAAGATAAATCAGACCATACTACGCTTTCTTGCATCTACCTTATTTTTGTACTCCATTAGGTACTGTTTCATATGTGATGCAACATATTAAGAAGATTTGATGATAGGATTGCCACATTACTGAGCGGTATGACCAAGAGGTTTAGACTATTGCTTAGCATTCGGGAGGACGCCGATTCGATTCTATGTCCGTCTGCTTTGGTCCAAGTTCTTCTGGGATTTCTTTGAATCACTTAGGCGAATGTTGGGAATGAAACATCCAAAGGCAAAGTAAAGTTATTGCCATATTTTTTTACATGAGTTAGGTTTGTTTCGTGAAATCCTTATAAAAAACTGTAAACATAGGTACCTACCTCGCTCTCCCGACTAGAATTTATAAGGGGCATGCCCCATGTAGCGTGGGGGCCTCATGTGGCAAACGAGGGGCATGCCGATATAGGGATTGCCCCGTAGATTCCTCATAAAAACCCCACCAAAAAAAGTGGTAATACTAAAATGAGGATTGCCTTATGGGTTTTTCATATGGGCCTTAAGGGGCAAACCTCACATGTATAAACTTACACATTCTTACTTAAGAGCAAACAAATTTTACAAATAAGTGATGTATGTATATATTTCTCCAAATGAAGATATAAATTGTATTGAAATTTGTGGAAAAGTACTGCCAAAAAAAATCTATATCCATGCGATGCTAAATATTAAAAAATGTATAGTTTCTGCAAACAATGAAAATATCGCTACCCGTAAAATCATAGAAGTTGATTAAAATAATATATTATACCGTTGCTACATGTGTAAAAGTGAATATTGTGAGCATTTTTTGTTTTTCAATTTGTTTTTTGTTTTGCCGATTTTAAACACCATACCTGTTACCTTATCTAACATACGTTTTTAATCTACTCTGTTCTGTGAAATGCATTGTTTATGTTTATATTTTTCAACGGATGTTGAACACTATTGCTTTCTGTCTAGCGTCTAGCCCAGCAACCCAGCATTAAAAAATATTATTATTAGCATACATAAGATTATTAGTTTAATTTTAATTTCTGAGCTCACAGTTTGGTTCGACCTACTCACAGTAATTAGATGATAATAATTTTTTTAGTGTAATAACTGTTGTAAAAAATTCATCCCCATGAATATTCACAATAGCGCATTAAAAACGGTTGCGGATTACAAACATAGGTTGATTTGTAAAAAAAAAGAAAAAAGAGATCGACATAGCGCCTTCGCACACTGTTTTAAACTGCAGGAACATATCAAGAAGCTAGTGAGTGTCAGTTGGAATATTTGCTTATTCTACATAAAGCGAAGAGACAGCATAATCGAAGGCTGCTGATGATGTGAACCTTTTTAGAAAAACATTTAAGCATTATTCCGAAAATGATTGTAAATAAGGGTAAGTAAAATTACCATCGAATTTATCATTAATGAATCTTATCTATACACACTGAGAAGAAAAGACGTTTCGATACTATTAAGCTCCTGTATATAAAGAAATGAACACATTTTTTTATTCTTATTGTTCATAATCCGTCAAAAATTATTTATAATATTTTAAATTTATAGATCATGAACTATCATCACAAAAGGCATTAGGAAATAAATCAACAAGTGAAAACAACCACTTAAAAGTTCAAATTAACTTCCAAAAGTGCAACGAAAGCAATTGGTACGCTAAAAGTGTTTTAAGTAATAGATTTTTAAATAGCTGAATTGTAATTTCTGTTCTTATGAATGATATTTGTATGCTGTTTTCGTTTTTAGATGAAGAAAATAGTAAACATTCTTCCACTTCAGATGACGAAAGTTGTAACCTTGCAACAACGAAAAAGAAAAAGAAAATTAATAATAAAAACATCATAAGAAAGTCTCGAATATCTTCATCTAGTGGATCTGATTAAATAATTCAATAACACTGACTCTTCAAGAAAAATTACATAAAAATTTAAATTCATTGACATCCGTCGACGAGTAAATATAAAACTAAACAATAGGAAGGTGCTCAAGTTGGTAGGTATTAGAAAAAGTTTGAATAATTCAATCTTGATTATTAATATTTGTAAAATAGGTAATGCTACGCTATTAATTTACAGAACAACTAAACCGTTTGATGGATGCCCGATTTAAGAGTATTTAATTTAACTCAAATCTAATACAATAAGCAGCCAGAATAATAATTAAATATGGTGTTTATTTTTTTT